CTCTGCATGTGCAGTTCTCGAGGAAATTTCTTCAACTGTAAATGAGGAAAATAAAAGTCAACCTTCCTGCAATTATGAAGTTCACCACAAAAGAAAGACAAGCCCACAAACATCAGAAAATAAAAAAAAGCAGCAGAAATTAGATAATTTTTTTTAAAGAATTAATTCAGGTAATTTAAAATATTTACATAAAATGTAGTAGTTTATATGTTTGAAAATTTATGGTTATTAATTTTGCAAAAAAAGTAATTCATTGAACTTTTATAATTAGGTCATTCAATACTTCATAATTGTAATTTTTCATTTCTCTCCCCCCCCCTTCTCGAAACTCCAAAATGTCGGTAGTAAGTCCGTAAAAGTTTCAGGGGATTTTTTGGGGTCCCACAAACACCCCTGAAGTATGCTCTTAAAATTTATTATAGTTATTGTTGTAAATAGCTGGACAGATGTAACTTAATGCCTACTGGGAAATGGTAATACAATCAATCATTTAGATATCATCACTGAGAACATTGCCAAAAGTGCAACACAGGAAGGGACTGATTTTATACTCAGGAGAATGAGGAAGTTTCATCCCAGTTTTGGAAAACACCTGAAGAAGAAAACAAAAGGTCTCCCAGTTCTTTCCCTACCTTCAGACTTCTCTAGAAGACTTTTGGCTAGTCAGTATTTTAAGTGCTTCTGTACCACACCGATACTATATGCTACAAACATCTAAACTTCCTCCAGGATTTGAACTCTTTTAACACCAAAATCTCCTCTAGGATTTGAGCCTGGTCGTAACAATATGATTGTCAGTAGCTGTAATTGCTGTATAGCTCAGAGTGGATAAATTACAATAGTATAGCTTCTTTCTTGTAGCATGAAATATATGTTTAAATATGTGTAATTCATTTGTAACTTGTAATCCATTTTCAATGAATGATATTAAAAAACAGAATTAATAATTTTCTTTTAAATTTTAATATGGAATAGTATATATGTATTATTTTTTTGTAGGTTGTAATGAATGGATGGCAAATTCTATTATTATTAGCTATTCTAAAATGTATAAATATCATTTTAAGGTTTTATATATGACTATCTGTATATTTGTGTATGATAGATCTATATCTATATGTGTGTGTAATATAAGATAAAAAATATGTAAATCAAAATTATAATTTAAACTAATGGTAAAACTTTAATTCTCCCTCTCGTTTCTAAAAATCGTAATAACTTCTTTCAGTTGCATCATTTCAAGATCATTCCTTTTCACATGGCCTGTGTAGCGCTGATGATGTAATAATTGGGAACTAAAACTTCAAACTCAAACCAAAACCTTTCTCTTGGTATGCTTCCATCTTGCATAACTATGCACTTCAGCTTCTCTCTCTGCTCTGCTTGGATGTAATTTTGCAATACTGCTTCCTATTGCAGTAATATCAAAAATTTAAATGCTCTTGAACAAGGATGGTTAGAGTACCAAGCGAACTGTGACCACAAATATCAATTGCAAATAAAAATGGAATTAAAACTGCCTCAATTCCCAAGTTTTTTAGTTGGCTTTACCGAAAAATAATACGAAGCCAACATATTGGCATACGTTGCAGTCAGAATGCTTCCTTTTCAACATGAATCTACGATCTATCATATCTGGGTATTACGCATCAACGCTGCTCTGTCTTTTCCTTGCTTTTATTTCATGTATATATATATTTAATTTTTTGTATTTTGAATCAAGAAATTCAGAATACACAAAATTAAAGACTACCAAATCACATTTTGTGAATATTAGACTAACAAATCACATATTGTGTTGTGATTTATTAGTCATAAGCATAGCTGTAAATTTATGTTGATGCATTCTGTATAAATGTTTTGTTAAATATGATTGTCCATGAAGGCATTTTGCTGGTGCTTTTCCATATTCAGATAGCCTAATCTGATGGGTGTTTTCTAACTTTATCAGAAAACTTTTGAAAAAACATTATGGCTGAATTCAGACTGTGTTCCTATTTGTGATAATTATCAATATTTCTATTTTAAAATGGAGTAAATACAAAGTACTTTTATATCATACTCATAATCCAATGAATTTTTATTCTTTACCTAAAGATAAAGTCGAGTGATTAATTTATGTTTCTTTAGAAAACAACTTGAGGCTACTTATTTGCAACACGCAGGAGCAGATCATATTTTTTTAGTTTTAAAGTGATGCTAAAACTGCTCTTATCTAAAAATTAGAGTATATTTTAAAAACAAGTCTTGCATTTCAAGCAGCCACATATATTTAAAACATAACAAATATTGTAAATCATTATAAGTGATATTTGCTCCTTATTTTTGAAGTACCAGTAATTTTTAAACTGTTGACCTGATCAACTTGTTAATTTTAAACAAACAGTATGCTTTTGATTCAATTATATATTATTGACAAATATTTAAGGCTACTAGAAAAACAAAGAGCAAAAATTTTAATTGCTATAAAAATAGTTTCTAGGCAATCACAGTATGTGTGCATTATAAACTTATCAGAAAATTAACAGGGCTTTTGTATTATTTCCAGAATCAGGATAAAAGTTTACAAGAATTCAAATATCTCAACAATGTCCCCAGCACAAAGCCACTAGTGCAAATAACTTATAAGTATTGTAAAACTAAGATTGGAGATTGGGTGTTAATTTTAAATTATGGAGTTCCCCCCCTTTTTGTTTGAGAATTGATCATGTTCACCTTATTTCATCATCATCAAAATGCCTAGAGACAAAAAGGCATCAAAAAGCCTTTCTGTGCAAAGTGCAACTCCCTTTATAATTTGGCACAAATTCATCATTTTAAACATTTTTAAGAGTTTTTAACTTAATTTTTGGAGTAGGTAACTAGAAAAGATTGTGCTTTATAAATCTGTTGTAAATATCATATTACTTATTCGTAGTAACTGTTCTCGATTAAGAATAGCTTGATGTATCCAGCTCAGTGGAGACCTACCATGCCTCTTTCTACTTATATATTTCTGTATTTTATTTTCTGTTATTGCTTCTGTGACCTACTACTGCAGCTGTAACTGAACTGTTTTGAATTTAAGAAAAGTTCTGATATTTATATTTGCACAGAAGGATTCGAAAATTATGTTGTGTTATTTAGGACAGCAGTTCAAAACCTATGGTACACATACCATATCATACCCTTGAAGGTACATGACGACTTAATCAGGTGTATCAAAAAAATTATGAGAAATGGCGGGAGATAACAAAGAGTTATAATAAATGCTGCTAGAAAAGCGAAATATTTAGAAAATTTAAACTCATCATTAAATAAAAGGGAAAAAAATATTCTTAAAATAGCTATTGATTCACTGAACCATTATTTTTAATGCAGCTTCCAATGCAGAGATTCCTTGTGCTTTACAGATATCCAAAAACTATAAAAATTCAACAATAATGTAATAGACACAATACAATAATTTATACAGAGATGTCTGAAGTACAAAGAAAATGACTCAGAAAGAAAAAGGCAAAAAAAAAGCATCGTATCGAAATGTAATGGATAAAAGATATAAAGTCTGCTATCTGTTTTAACCTCCCAGTATCTGGGGGAAAAAAAAAAACACTGTTCTGAGAGAGCGCTGAGTAGGTGAGATGCCCAACGTTCATCTAATGTTATGCATTATGGCTAGCTAAAAGGCAGCTACAGTGTTGTTCTGGGGTACTCTGAAGTCTGGGAGATTTGGACTTCAACAAGAGAATAACATGAAGATATAACTGACAAGGCGTTAAAATGCTCTTTCACCATTTACAGACATTGAACATAATTGACAAGGCATTAAAATGCTCTTTCACCATTTACAAACACTGAACATAATTGACAAGGCATTAAAGTATCATTCACCATTTGCAAACATTGAACTTTCAGAAAGAACATTCTCAACTTATTTCTTAAACAGTAATTGTAACAAACAATATGATATTCCTGATTTAAGACTTCGGCAAGAAAAACAAGAAAGAATGATTCTAAACTTTTCAAATTTCATCCTGTCTTCACTGATTTTTAGGTGTACAATGTGATATAGCATTATTCATTTTGTGTTCAAGCGCAATGAATTTATATATATAATATAATATTATTCATTTTGTATTCAAGTGTAACAATTTTTAGATATACACTAATGATATAGTAGTATTTTTTTGTGTTCTAGTTATTTGTTCAGCTGTTAATATTTTCTTACAGACCGAGTCTTAAGTTTAGAATGAATGAAGTTGTTCTTTAGTTTAGTTATTATAGGTGCATTATTTTACTGTAATGCAGCACTATTTCAAGAATGCATAGATTTTTTTTTTTTTTTTAATTTAGATCTTATTCAGATTCAACAAATTCATCAATTTACTCATTTCCATTTTAAGAAAGCTGATAATGAAAATAATTATTATACATTAATAAAGTTGTCTTTTAATTTAAAAGTATGTGTAGTCATTGTTTAAAGTAACGTTTATAGTTTATACAGACTCTTGTAGTGCGCTTAAATCATTTAGAAGCTTTTTCCCATACTCAAAATCCAGTCATAACTAATGTAATGATCAGTCTCTGATTATATTTTTTTTTTCTAATTCATTAGGTGAGTCTAATAATGGTCGAAAAGTTTTAATGGTAATCAAAATAATACAGTACTAAGGTATACTGCAGAAATTTTAGAGGAACAAGGAGTTCTGAAGGAAGTGTGAGAGGTACTTTTTAAGTACAAAGTCTTATTAGCGGATATGTGAAAGAAAAAAAGTTAGGAACTACTGATTTAGAGCAACTTAGACAAGAATTTAAAATTTGCTAATGGCTGCAGTAGGAAACAAGCTGAGTGATCAGAAATTTGATAATAGGCATTTTGTGTTAATTTGAATTAAAATTATGTTTACTTAACAACATTTTGTAATGGAAAGAAAAAGTATTTTGAATGATTTCATGATTATTCTGCCTGTATTTTATATTTCGATTTAAGTATTCATTAGATCATTTATTTTCATTGCTAGGATAATTCTTCTGAAAATGAACAAGATTGTCATGATGGTGAAGACAGTGTATCAGGTGTGCGAAGACCCATGAATGCTTTCTTTATCTTTTGTAAACGCCATAGAGATATAGTACGAGAAAAATATCCTCATTTGGAGAATCGCAGCATCACAAAGATTTTAGGAGAATGGTGGGCAAACTTGGAACCTTCAGAGAAAACATCATACACTGCTTTGGCCAAACAGGTTGTTATGTGTGATTAATATACATATTTTAAATGGAAACATCAGTTTCTAATAATTTAAACTGAATTAACTGTTCATCTTTATTTTGAAAACAATAACTTCAGTATCATATTAACTTTTATTTCGAAAAGCAAGAAAAAATGGTTACCTCATTGAATTTCAAACTTTTAATACATTTCATATAAAATTTGCCTGCAAATTATTCACAGTTGTACAATATTTCTACAATTCTCAGTCACTTTTTCAAACATTTGAATATATTATGAGCTATAAGTAACACTTTTTAAATTTTTTTAATATTGAGAATTCAGTTTTTTCTGGGGGATGGTCTTTTATGATCTGTTTTGAAGTTAATTTTCTCCTCATAATAATACTTCAGTTTCCTGCTTTGATGTTTTTTCTATCAATATTTTATTATGTATGCAACATGGATGAAAAATTTCCTGGAACTAATAAATTTTAAATATACAGGGTGTTTATAAAGTCCTGGACCCATTTTGATGTTTAATAACTCATAAAATAATAAAGGTAGATTAAAATTAATAACATAAATGGCTAGATTGACTCAAAAAGTTTCATGACCCTTGTCAATGAACTTCCACATGTGCCCCCTTCGTCGCACAGAGAATATCAAATCGATATTCAATTTCGGCTTTTAGGTCATCAATGTCTGACACTCTCCTCCTGTAAATGTCGTCCTTTACAAATCCCCAAAGGAAAAAGTCCAGTGGCGTTATATCAGTTGATCTGGGTGGCCAAGGAATTGGACCTCCTCGCCCAAACCATCTTCCTGTAAAATGGTCATTCAAAGAACTACGAACGATGGTACCCCTATGAGGTAGTGCACAATCTTGCTGCAAAAAGACATGTGGCTGAAGTTCTTCTAGTTGTGGAAATGAGGAGTTTTCCAACATGTGTAAGTATACAACTGATGAGACTGTCTTTTCTGTAAAAAAGAAAGGCCCAATGATTCGGTCCACACATTAGTCCACACCACACATTAACCTTTGGGGAATCCCTTTGTGCCTCATGGTATTCATGGGGGTTTTCAGATCCCCATATGCATCAAAAGTAAACGTGACATTGCAATAGTTGCCAAAAACAAAAGAGGGAAAAATTCAATTAATAAGCAAACAATATTTTGAAAAGTACAGATATTTATACTGGAAAATGAAATTATCTGAAATTAACCACACGCACAGACGATATTTACAAAAGTAAAGATATTCAAACCTGAAAAGGAAAATATCTAAGTTATTCCATCAATAAATGCCATAAGTTTGTTTATATCTTCATTATTTTATGAGTTATTAAACATCAAAATGGGTCCGGGACTTTATAAACACCCTGTAGATGTGGAATATTCTGGATTTTGTAGTTTGTATGAAATGAATATGTTGCTTTAATATTCAAATATCAGAAAAGTTTTTTTACTTTGCTTCTAAGAACAGTCTGTAGCAGGTATTGCATTTTAATTATGTAAATTAAATTGAAGTTTGAATTATTCAAAACATTTTGTTTACATATCGTGTAGTGTAGTATGTGTAATGATATCGATTTGTTACATGACAAGAATTTTGCTTTAGTTATATCTGTAAGTTGTGTTGCTGTTCTAATATTTTAAGTTGCATGTCATTTTTATTCACTAATACTTATCTAATGGGAAGCATAGAATTAATATTTGTTGAATATGAAATGGTTGCATATCGTGTTCGTATAAGAGCTAGAATAATTTTGAAAAGGCTTTAGGTGCTTTTGATCCCTGCACAGTTTAATATACCTGAATGTCCTCCAACTTCATTATAATAAAACTTCAGTGCTTTATAATTTCTTTTAAAAAGAAATTCTTTACTTCCCTTAGAAAATAAACTGTGAGAAACAGAACAACATGATTCTTTACTTTCTCCAGGGTCTGTGTAAAATCCTTCTAATATACAGTTTCACATATAAAACAGTCATCTATACCAACTGCTGGCATTAAAAAAAAAGTGTTTTCTAATGCCTTATTCAGCATTTCTAATAATTTGGGTTTTTGTTTATTTCTAAAATGAATTATATGGTTTGACAGCTTTAATTTTGGAAAAGTTATTTGTATTTAAATGAACAGTTAGGTTTTTCTTGTTTCTAAGTAAATAAAAATCTGCATATCACTGGAGCCCATTCATAACGTCATAACAGTGTGAAAAGAAATGCTCTTTAAGTAATAGTTGCATTTGTAAGTGGTTTTTTGATTGGCAAAAAAATTCTATTTTTTCATGTAAATTAGTGATGCATGTGCTTCAATTATTCTATATTGACAAATAAAAATACGTATTTTCCTGTAAATGTGTATTAGGAATTTATATCAAGTTCTCACTGGGGTATAGAAACATTTCTTACTATTATTTTATTAAAATTTTCTCGTAATTTAATTCAGAGTTTGTTCTCATTTACCAGTGATATTTTTTGTGTTTAAAGGAACATTTACTAAATATTGTAAATTTTAGTAAATGAGTGTGTGTTATATACATTTGTACATAAACATTCTTATGTGTGTTTGTGTGTGTGTGTGTGCTGTAGCAAACATTTGCTTACATATGTTGAAAATAATATTCATATGAACTGAATTTTATATACTCAAGGATTCAGCTTTTAAACATATGTAATTTTACTCTTAGATTAATTATAATGACCAGGAATAGTTGAGCATAAGTGCTGTTTAATGCTTATATATGAGAACTTACATTTATTCAAATTGAAATAAATCCCAAACTCCTTAAAACTACAAGTGCAGAATGTGATTGACAAATAGAGGTGTAGAAAGGTAATTACAAAGTTTACTGAATATCCTTTTTTTTTTTTTTTTTTTTTTTGTTGATATAAATTTAAATTTTGGGGGGGTGAATACTGACAGAAAAATTTTCTGACAATTCTATAATAGTTTTCACCCTATTGGGTAGATCTGCTCCTGTTTTCTTGTTATGTTTCAAAGATGAACATTGAGTTTTTCCTTGTTACTTTCCTTCTACTCAGAAAACAGCTAATTTGATATTTTTATTGATAACATGAACATACTGCCTTTTTGCAGACACAAACAAAAATGTTTGTCTCTGGAAAATCCTGCTTTCTATTTAGAATTCTAGTTCTAAAATTCTTTTGACTAGATCTTTCTTTTCAGCATGAAATGTAATAAATCTGAACAAAAATTTAATTTTTGCTTAATCAGTCTTTGTTTCTCATATTGAATTCATGGTTCTTTATTGGTATCATTTAAGGTGTAATTTTGACGGAACTTAAAAACTTAAATCTTTATATACTGAATATTTGTATCTCCTTTTGCACCATGTTATTCAAAATCTTAAATATGATTCAAATCTGGTGGAATATTCAGATTTTAAGCTTGTACTTCTTTAATTTTAAAGACGTTTTATGCAATTCCAAATTGTTCCTGAAATTTTACTTTAGCTTTATCGTCAGAAAGCTCATGAAATTTCATAAATCTGCAAACTTCACTTTTACCTGTAAAACCACATATATTTTTATAAGTATTTGGTGTTTGGTTCATTTTTCTTTATGTGTTCCTTTTCTTGGGAGGGAGGGTTACAAAACTTTCAAAAATTTATCATTAGAATGAATTTCTTTGTCATTTTATTGACAGGTAATAGGATTCTGAAGCTTTCTTTGTAAATACATAATGTTCATAACTTGAAAAACTGTCAGAAACTAATTTAATGTATTTATGCAGTCATTACAGATTTCATCTTCAAGCTTGCACATTTTAAATGAAATATGGTTTCTTCACAGTTTTCATTCATTGCTAATAATTTTAAATAATTTAAACAGTATGATCAATTGGCCAATCAAGAAGTAACCAGGTAATAGAGAAAATAAAACATAGATGTATTTATTACTCATTATTTGCCCAGTCTAGTCTCATGGTGTCATGAGTCTGAATTTTCTTTGTTTCTTGGGAGGGGGCTCAGATTAGGGGGTGGTGAATTGGAAACTGATAAAAGAAGGGCTGTCTCCTAGGTGAGGAGGATTCTGCTAAAATGATCACCTTCATTTAAAATTGTCTGAAACTAAAATGCTGTGCTGTAATGTGATGGTGAAAATCTAGGTTGTGGTTAGTGGCTGAGGTTTGCTTGCATAATCTGTTCCACTGTGAAAGTATCACAGACAAGTTAAAAAAAAAAAAAAAGAGTGTCTATAAGTCTATTAATTTGATAATGCAAACAGCAAATGCAGATGAGAGTTTAACTGAAACGTATGCAAAATGTTTCCCAAATGCTTTTATAGCAGTTAATAATAACATACTGGTCCTAAAGAAAATTTTAAAATTTGTTTTTTAGGAACTTGGATGAGTAAACACAGAATTAGCTCTTTGTAGGCAGTTAATAAATTCAAGAAAAATCTACTGTTGTGATTTTATTATTTTGTATAATTTCTGCATATAAACTGATGCAATGTAGTGCTTTGATTGCATAATCAATGAAATGTTCAGCACTGTTAGATAAATTTTGTTTATATTTATGGTAGTTCATAATTTTGTCTTGAGTAATTTTATTGCCTTGATTTATATATGTTTTTCTGTCATGTTTTCATTGTATTTTTATTATGATTTTATTAATTGTGTACAAGACTGACACCTTTTAAGTATTTATTTATTACCTGTCCTGATGTAAAATGGTGAAAGAAATCTGTCAGATTTAAAGGAATTTTCATTTTTTGATTTGATTGTAAGATATTTCTATTTTTTTTTGTATCAATTTCCATTAAAATTTAAGTATTTTTATATTTTTAAAGTAAATTTGCCTTTTTACCGAATGCTTTAAAGGCATTAAACTTTTATATTACATTGTAATAAATTGCTCCTTTCCATAGATAGTAACTTTTCCAAACTGAAATTCATATATTTATGTTTATATTTACATATGGTATTTTTCAGTACAAAGAAGCATTCATGAAAGCACACCCTGATTTTAAATGGTATAAATTGCCTACACCTCCAGCTAGAACACTGGTTACTAGACCTTCGAACAGTAGAAGTGGTCAGGTACAAAATGATAAGAACTACCACAAGTCTGGAAATTGTGGCATAACTTTAGGAAAATTAGTCGGTTAGTACACATTTCTGAAGGTACTAAGCTGGAAATGTTGCTATTATTTTATTTATAATTAATTCAAAATTATTGGACATATACTAAAACATGAGCTAATTTATATATTTAAAAACGAATATTTTTCTATTCAAATATGATCTATTCCAGAGATTGTATGTGAGTGAAAACTTGCATAACTGAGGTATGTTTTCTAAGGTCAGACAAATTTTTTCATGTATCTTGACTTTTACTATAAGACTATTTTAAAAATCTCTTATGTAGTATCCCAAAACTGCTAACCTGTGAGAATAAATATATTACAGAAATAGTCCTTGCAATTTACAAAGAATGTACATGTTATAGATTATTTTTGCACTAAGAAAATTCTTATCTTGGAGCTTGGAATGTGGAACCAGAACTATTTCGTTTTGCCATTTTTCAATATCTGTATTTTCCTTTCTTAAACTTTTTTGGTACCCAAAAGTGTTCTTGCTACATAATATTTTTTCATCTGAAGATGATTTATATTAAAAATGACATTTAAAAAATTTAAGTGCATTTTATAAAAATTCAGGTTGCTATGTATTGGTTACTGCTACTTTGCATTTATTACTGTTACTTATCCTTTACATTTTATTTTTTAATTTGATTTATTCGTTATTCTCTTCACAGATTGATTGTTAAAAAAGAAGCTAGCATGTGAAGTAAAATTTCGTGTGAGGAAAAACATGGCTTAAGTATTTTTAGGTATTTACATGCTATCCTTTTGACCATGAAATTGTTGCCAAGCAGCACGATTTAGTGCCTGTTATGGATAAGTATTAGGTCACAACAAACTCATAACATCTTCACTTTTGTTTGTAGCAATGCAAAATGAAAAATTCTGACAAAAGAATTAACGTGTTAAATGGGAAAAAGAGCATTTGTGGGTGGCCGACAAAACAGTAATTGGTTGAAGCAGTCGCTTGCAGGAAGTTTTGTACTCATAGCATTCATAATAGAACTTCCAGTAAAATCAACAAAGCATAACAAAGCGGTAGAATTCAATGCAAGCTTTTTTATATGAATTTATATGAAACACAAAAATGAATTAGGTTGAATACCTCTGCAGAAGTTTCTATTTGATGGACTGTATAGAGAGACTGATGAATGTTTTATTGTAAAAGTTGCACACAGAAGTGGGGCTCAGAACTCTGCTGAAACAACTGACACAACTTTGGCAGGATCATAGATAGCCAATTTTCAGTAACAACTCAAGCCAACTGTCACGGTTGATGGGATAATACTTATTTTTATAATGATAAGTAATTTTTTTCCCTCTTTCATTAAGTTATTGCATTTGAAATTGCAAACAGCATTAACTTCTTATTTAGTGATTTTTCTTAATTTGTATGTTTATTTGAAAACCAGTTGCTTAATATGCATTACAGATGTACTTTATTTTAGTGCATTTCATAGATATGATGCTTTTCTGGAAATCAAATATTTGTGGTTCTCTTGCATTGAGCTGCTGATGATGCTATTTTTCTAACTGCATTCATTTACTTCTGTCTCACTGTTCCATTCTAATAAATTTTGCAATATTTCTATCTTTTTTCTTGTTGTTTAATTGAAATAAGACCAAAATACTTATGATAGCCTCTGCTTATTACTGTATTTGTTTCTTAAGTATATAAAGACTTATTTTTTATCACTAAAATATCCAAACTTTCAATTTCTCTCTCTCTCACTTTTTTTAAAGAATATAATAGTATTTCCATAAATTTCATATATATAATGCATATACTTTCAATTCTTATAACTTTTCAAATTTTTTCATTAAGAATGAGAATTAGGACTATAAATTGTTGTCTGTAATCTCATTTTAAGTCAAAAAGCTTTCGATATTAATGTTGGAGAAAAAAAGGCATATAGGATGCAGAGACAAACTGAAAGCTAGAATTCTTATTTCAACCAGTCAGTTATGAATGTGAAGAAAATGTTTTTCAGTCAAGTGCTACTTCATTGAAGGCATAAATGAAACATTTGATTATCTTATTTATATATTAATGCATATGTAGTGTAAACATAACTTTTATATACACTGGAGAAACATAATGTAGTATTACTGTATGCATAGTGAAAGTATGATATTTTTATGCATATTTATATAAAGGGTTAATTTTATTTAATAAAGGTTGTAATTAAAGTTCCACTATGAAATGATCGTAAAAAGAAAACTACTGAATCAAATATCAAACTTGGCAATTTTATAAAGGATGTCATGGGAATTTATTTTCCATGGAAAAAAAAAAAAACAAGAAACCTCACCACAATGAGCAAATGACGCTCTATGCAATATTGTTAAATGGAATAAGGGTTGGAATCTAACTTAACCTTTTGTTACACGGGTTTAACATGTTGTATACCCTTAAGAAACATTGACCTAAACAAAATCATCATTTAAAGGCGATGGAAGTCAAGTGTGGCATCTGTGTAATGGAGAAATCCATTCGTAAAACCCACAAATTAGCGATTAGAATATCCTGAGAGCACAAATCACTCGCAAAAGTTGTGCATTCCAAAAATCGTTTTCTTACAGATGGCTAATTTAAGAGTTTTGAAGCCTCAATTTGGCCCAAGACATGAAGATATTGAATTAAAACAGTTTTAATTGATTCTAAAAAAAACTGTCTGTGATATTATGCAAAACCACAATGACTTGTAATTGGTTTACGGTAGGAAGAAACAAATGATTTATGCAAATGCGCTTTACACGTCATTTGATTTTTCAGGTAAAAGTGAGCATATTTATCAGAGTTCTCATTTTTGTGAATCGACAGTGTCTGAAATGTTATTATGAATGTGATAGCAGTGAACGGTGTGCATTGCAAAGATATCGTTCAGTAAGAGGAATATGCCAAGGGCCAATGACAGTGCAGGGCTTGAGGAAAATGAGGGCAAAGTTTGAAGCCACGGGTTTGTTATCTGTTGCGCCTGTTAGGGGAAGGAAATCTCCTTATGAGGAAACCAAGGAGGTTGTTGCATTAGCAGGGGAGGAAGCAACAATGGAAAACACACATGGTACGCACAGTAAATGGATATACCATGGTGTATGGTGCACAAAATTGTCCGTAAAGTGCTGTAGTCCTATCCATACAAAATCAAACATGTTCAAGAACTTAACAATCCTGCTGCAAGAGAATCTTTAGCTTTGAAATTCCTTGCATGGATGGAAGTGGACGAACATTGGCCATGGAACGTTTTGTGGGCAGAAGAGGCCCATTTTTACTTAAATTGAAATGCCAAGACAATATGAGCCAAACAATCCCTCATGTTATTCCCCCAGTTCCATTGCATTCTCCTAAAGTCACCGTTTGGTGTGGTATGACTGCTAGTTTCATAATTGGACCATGACTGCACTCTGAGGACATGCACTCTGAATTTCGTGATACCTTGTAAGGATCTTAAGTTTTACTAAAGTTTATTTTATTTTAAAACTATACTATCACTTCTTATTTTCTTCTTCTGGCCAGAATTAAATGCTTTAACTTGGTTATGCAAATTGTCTTGCTAATGCCAAGTACTTAAATGTGGCTTTGCAAGGAGGGAGAGAGGAGTTTTTAGGAAGCATGCCGCTTCACTGTATTTTACGAGTTTCACTCTGTTGCTGGTTGCTTTAAGGCCAGAGGTAGCCCTCTTGTTATTTGCGAAATTGTAGTTTAAGCAGCTCGGCGTCTACATACGTACCTTTCATTTAATAAAGACCAATCTTAGTGCTAGGCATTTGTATACTAATTCAAAGTTAGATTTTAGTTAAGTTTTAGTTAGTAGTTCTATATTCTTACGTTCAGACACGAGTGGTTGGTCTCTCTATTCCGAAGTTTCGGAAATACCTGTAAATGAAATAAAGGGTTTCGTATACCCTTCCTGTTTGTGTTATTTTTCACACTTCCTGAACATGTTTGAGTAAGCTCTCTTTTCCTATTCAGGACCATTCATGTTTCCAAAGCAAATCAAGAGAAATACAAGTACTGATAACCTTAACTGCAGCAATGTGGCATTTTATGCATTAAGGGGCACCATTGCACATTAGTACATGTGTCACACAGTTACTTAGGCAACATTTCATGAATAAATAGATTATGGGCCGGCACTTCCCTACCTCTTGGCCACCTTGGTCACCAAACCTCAAACCCTGTCACTTTCGGCTATGGGGTTATCTCAAGAGCAGTGCTTATGGTAATAATGTAAACAATTTGGCAGATTTGAAAGATGCGATACCAACATGTCCATAACATGCCTCCTGATTTGCTAAGAGCTGCTGTTGAGAATACAGTAATACAATATAACTTGCTTTCGGAAAATGACAGACACCACATTGAACATGCTTTGTAACAGGTTTCAGAAATGATTAAACACATTTTAAACCGATGTCTTTATGTTTTATTTCGTTTAACAATATTGCAAACAGCGCCATTTTACCCCTGGTGGTGAGGCTTTGAACTTTTTCCTGCACAAAGTAAATTTCCATGATCTTCTTTGCACAATTACCAAGTTAGATAACCATTTGGTCCAGTAATTTTCCTTTTGTGACCATTTCAAAGTGGAACTTTAGTTATGTGGAGTCATATGAAAAGTTGTTTAGGGATGCTGTGACCAGATTTTTTGCTAATGACCAGGTTCATGCTCATCAAAATTTTTTATGACAGAATACTTCAAAACATCTTGTTGAATCCCTTGAATGAATTGGACCCACCAGCGGCCGAGCGGTAAAGTCGCTGAACACTGGTAGTTCGGTCCGAGGTTCGAATCCCGCGAACGGGCTGGCTGCATGGGCGTTTTCGTGGTTTTCCCCATGTGTTACGTGTATACGAGCCAGTTTCCCTTAGAAAGTCTTACCCCTGCTTAAACAGATAGCCCTCGAGGCTTTGCCATACTCACACACACACCCCTTGAATGAATTAGCTAGATTACTCCCCAGACATGAATCCAATTGAAATTATGCGAGACGCTTCAGTCCACTGAATTGCAGCATG